CTGGGAGGAGAGCGTCTGGGAGTCTGGGAGAGAGGCGTCTGGGAGGAGAGGGTCTGGAGGAGAAGGTCTGGTCTGGAGGAGAGGGTCTGGGAGGAGAGGGTCTGGAGGAGAGGTCTGGGAGGAGAGGGTCTGGGAGGAGAGGTCTGGGAGCTGTCTGGGAGAGAGCGTCTGGGAGGAGAGGTCTGGGTCTGGGGGAGAGAGAGGCTGGGAGGAGAAGGTCTGGGAGGAGAGCGTCTGGGAGGAGAAGGTCTGGGAGGAGAGGGTCTGGGGAGGAGAGAGGAGAGGGTCTGGGGGAGAGGAGAGGTCTGGGTCTGGAGGAGAGGGTCCGTCTGGGAGGAGAGCGTCTGGGAGGAGAGGTCTGGGAGAGAGGTCTGGGAGGAGAGGTCTGGGGAGGAGAGGGTCTGGGAGGAGAGGTCTGGGAGGAGAGGGTCTGGAGGAGAGCGTCTGGAGGAGAGGTCTGGAGGAGAGGTCTGGGGAGGGGGTCTGGGAGGAGAGCGTCTAGGAGAGGCGTCTGGAGGAGAGCGTCTGGGAGGAGAGGTCTGGGAGGAGGGTCTGGGAGGAGAGGGTCTGGGAGGAGAAGGTCTGCTGTCTGGGAGGAGAGGTCTGGGAGGAGAGCGTCTGGGGAGGAGAGGGTCTGGAGTCTGGGAGGAGAGGGTCTGGGAGGAGAGGGTCTGGGAGGAGAGGGTCTGGGAGGAGCGGGTCTGGGAGGAGAGGGTCTGGAGGAGAGTCTGGGAGAGAGTCTGGGAGGAGGAGAGGGTCTGGGAGGAGCTCTGGAGGAGAGGCTGGGAGGAGAGCGTCTGGGAGTGGGAGGAGGAGTCTGGCTGGGAGGAGTCTGGGCTGGGAGAGAGGGTCTGGGAGGAGAGGTCTGGGAGGAGAGGTCTGGAGGAGAGCGTCTGGGATGAGAGCGTCTGGGAGGAGAGGGTCTTCAGAGGGTCTGCTCATAGTTTTCAGTACTTGAAGGTGAGATAACCGTCAGAATATTCAATTTTTGGAAGTGTGTTTCTGTGGGTTCGTTTCGGGATTCCGAGTTTGTTTTCAGTAATAGGTTCTCACTGGACTAGTAATGACACTTTTGATTTCACGTTTTCCCCCATCTTCTAAAATGACGTATATTTTCCTCAAATTAAATGATATAAACAGACCTTTCCGACAGACGTAAAAAGAGAGAAAAAGAAAGAGAAAGGAACAACTTGCTGTTTTGATTTGCTGTCAAAACACGAGGTTCGTTCTCCAACTCGCGAGGGCGAAACAATCCGGGAAAAGACGCTTTATTCTGAGGTCGAATTTAAGAGTTGAAAAAGAGGATATGACAGGAGGAAAAAGCTTAATTCGTCTCCCGTTTTGCGGTTGTTGACCTGGACTTGCTGATCTTGCTTACATTTTCGCCATAATTCGCACTGCGGGAACTGCGCTCCTCAATTATTATCGCGATAATTGTTGGTGATTTTTTGTTATTACTGTCGGTGTCTTATAATTATTTTTACTCTCTCTTTGTACTATGTTGTTTATTGAGCGGTTGGTGTCATTCACTGATGTTTGTGTCGAAATGAACTCGTGTTATTTTTGCATTCCCTTTCATCCTCGTGGACAATCGCCCTCAGCCGACCAGAGCCTTAATAAGCTTCCCTCACTCTCCTATTTCCGCAAATTTTCGTCGTTGCGAAGGAACTTTCCACCAGCAATTTAGAAGAAAAAAGCCTGGAAACGAAGGAAAGTGGGAAAAAGAAAACGTTTTCTGCTGCTGGTAATGTCTGCATTGCGCGAGTGAATTCTTCGCGTCCATGTTTATTCCGCAAATTTCTCCCCGTTTTACATCCCAAAGCCGAAATAAATGACATCTGTTTAATTGGGATTATTAATTGGTTGTTCTTACTTGCTTTTGGATGTTTAGGTGACGTTAAAATATATTCGTAATCGCTATTCAAGATTTTTGATATGCGGATGTTAATCTTTTAATTGGTATGGATACTGTAGTAAAGATAAGAACTATGGTGATAATAATGATAGCAGTGAGAGCGCTACTAAGGAAATTATATGATAATGATGACAGTGACAATGCTAATGATGAGGGTAATTGATAATGATTATGATGATAAGTAGTAACGATAATAGTAACTAATGACAGTGATGATGATATGAATGATGAATATGTTATGACAATAACAGCTACGACGATAATGATCATAATAATGATAATGATAATGATAATAGTAATAATAATGATATTGACAATTATGATAATAATGATAATAATAGTAATAACAAATAATGATAATAATAGTAATAACAAATAATGATAATAATGTTTAGAACAAAATAATGAATGATAATAGTGATAAGGGTAATGATGATAATAGTAATAAAGATAATAATAATGAAGGCAATATTAATGATATTTATGATAATATTAAAACTGATAATATCGATAATAATAGCAATGATAGTGACCATATAAGTGATGATAACAATAAAGGCAGTGTTAGATACAATAACAGTAATAATACAAATAATGATAATGGTAATAGTAATGATTATAAAGATAATAATAATGACAGTGTTGATAATGATAATGATAACTAATAATGATAGCAATAGCAAAAACAATGATGATAATGGTAGTAATAATCATAAAGATAGTAATAATGATAATGTAACTTGTACTACTATGATAATGACAAGAATAGCAATGGTAGTGATAAAGATGATTAATCATAATAGAGCTAATGATCAAATACGAGAAATAAAAATAAGCATATAAATAAACGTAACTGTAAACAGCTCTGTTGCCCATTACCCCATCTAAATTGGCAGTTTTTGTAAACTTTCATCTGCAAACATGAAATGCTCACTTTCAACGTCTGTAGGCTTGGGATGGCCCGAAACAACTTCTCTTTTGTTCTCCCAGGCAGCGTAAGAGGTAAGTTGGATGGACGACAGGGTTTCACGCCGGAAGTGAGTACATCCGCCAGCCACCCCCTCTCCTTTCCCTCCCTCTCTTACGCCCACCGCCCTCCCCTATCTACTTTTCACCCGCCCACCGCCCTAACCTGTTTACTGGAGCGCCCGTTCACTGCGCCCAATCCACCCACTGCCCTCCGCCCACCACCCGCTACCCTCCACCCACCACCCGCTACCACCACCACCCTCCGCTACCCTCCGCCCACCACCCCGCTACCCCGCTACCCTCCGCCCACCACCCGCTACCCTCCGCCCACCACCCGCTACCCTCCGCCCACCGCCGCCGCTCCAGTACCCGCATGGGCGTGGGAGAGCCCGTCCAGCGCATCTAATGAGACCCGTGAAGTGGACACGTAATCAGTACCTGCCTGTGTGTCTTTGTGTGTCCGTTTGGTGGTCCTTTTTGCATGATTTAGGAAGACTTCATAGCGTTTTGGTGAATTTTATGTCTTATGGCTGTTTATATCTATATCTCGTCATTAAAGAAATCTTGCATGGTTTTGTGAATAACTCTTTCTCGTTTTACTTTGACATCTGCTGCTGGAATCCCATTGCACGAGTTAAATAAAGGTTAACTAAACCAATAGGTAAAAAGACGAAGAAGCGAGAAATGCCAAACAAAAAGAAAAGTTGCGAGCATATATTATAATCCTTGTCGTCTTCTACGATATATGTGCTTACACTAAATTCATGACATAATATGCAAGACTTTCAGTAATGATTTAAACTCATAAACTGGAAATAGATGGTTAACTCACCTTCCTAAAAACGCGTTATTATATTACTCCATCCTGTAAAAACCTCAGTAAACCTGACCTGAGAGAGTCTCAATAGAACCTGTAAAAACCTCAGTAAACCTGACATTGTAATTGAACTTTTGAGACAATACTCCTAGTCTAGGATAAGCAGATGAGTAATTCTATGCGGAGCCAGTGTGGTTTGGAGAACCACTTTATTGGGCCGTGTGCTTAAGGGAGGGATTGAATAAGACATGCATCACCTCGCATGGCTGAGAGAATAAAAATGATAGCCGTTTCAGAAATATCGTGAAGACATTTTTATTTTTATTTTGTTTGTCTTCTCTGGGGATCTCTGCGTTAAAGCATCGCACTATCGTATGTGTATTCATATATCCAAACAAATAACAAACTCGCATGGATTAGATAGATTTGATGTATCATTGTTTATCATGTTTCTCGATTAAGATTTGTAAGAACTAGGTGCTTGACAATGTACTCATAGGTCTAGACATGGATGTGTACAAACGAGAGAAAGTTAAGGAAACGGTAAATGTCAACGGCAAGAACTCCAGCTTATATGATGGAGAACAATTAACCAAAAAAAAAAAAAAAAAAAAAGACTCTGATTAGAAAGACAATAATTTGCAATGTGTGTAATAGCATGACATGTGTCGACCACAAGTAAAAAAAAAAAAAAAATGTCCCGCAATGCAGTGGCTGAATGCATTTTATGCGTGATATTCTACTCATTACGAACTTTCTTATTTAGTTGAAATATGCTCTTAAACGCCTGCTATTTTAGCATTAGGTATGGGTTCAGCGCCTTTGCTTTGTGTGTGAAAACTATTATCCTTGTTAGACTACTTATTTGAAGGTCCTTTATTCTCACATGGGAACTAATTTGCATTTCCGCGCATAATTATCTGTAATAACTATTCGTTGTTTTCCTTGTTAGAAGATGGATCCTCTTTATTATCCTCTCCCCTCCTCTCTCTCTCTCTCTCTCTCTCTCTCTCTCTCTTCTCTCTCTCTCTCTCTCTCTCTCTCTCTCTCTCTCTCTCTCTCCTCTCTCTCCTCTCCCTCTCCCTCTCCCTCTCCCTCTCCCTCTCCTCTCCCTCCCTCTCCTCTCCTCTCCTCTTCTCTCTCTCTCCTCTCCCTCTCCTTCTAATCTTATCCTCACTCCCACTCCATCCCTCCTTCTTTCCCCTTCCCACTCTTCTCCCTCCTTCCCCCACCTATATGCCTCGTATGCCTATGGACGTGACGCAGTTAACACTCAACCCCGTCTCCGTTCCCCTCCAGGCATCAACCTCCCCCTGGCGGACCTCTTCGTCACCACCGACAGCGGGAAGGTGCAGGGCTTCTACGTGTACCTGTAAACGACGACCGTGCGCGTGCCCCCATCAGGAGAGGCCACGTCAATGCAACAAAGCACATCATGAACCTGCCTCGGCCACTCCCGTCCTACGGGCCTCCCCGTTACGCAAGGCAGAACGTGTCAATCCCGTACGCCAGGCCGCCGATCGAGGAAGGCCGGTTCAAGGTAATGGCAATGCACGCTGGCTGTTGGCTGAGAGATGGAAAGGGGCGGGAGGAATGCTGTATGGATTAGAAAGGGGAAGAAAGAACGCTAAATATGATGGAAATGTTGGCTGAGAGATGAAAGAGCGAAAAGGAATGCTGTATGGATTAGAAGGGGAAGAAAGAATATGATGAAATGTTGGCTGAGATAAAAAGAGCGAAAAGGAATGCTGTATGGATTAGAAGGGGGAAGAAAGAATATGATAGAAATGTTGGCTGAGAGATGGAAAGGGGCGAAAAGGAATGCTGTATGGATTAGAAGGGGGAAGAAAGAATATGATAGAAATGTTGGCTGAGAAAAAAGAGCGAAAAGGAATGCTGTATGGATTAGAAGGGGAAGAAAGAATATGATAGAATGTTGGCTGAGATAAAAAAGAGCGAAAAGGAATGCTGTATGGATTAGAAGGGGAAGAAGAATATGAACGTTGGCTGAGATAGAAAAGAGCGAAAAGGAATGCTGTATGGATTAGAAGGGGAAGAAAGAATATGATAGAAATGTTGCTGAGATAGAAAAGAGGAAAAGGAATGCTGTATGGATTAGAAGGGGAAGAAAGAATCTGAGATGGAATGAGAAGAATGCTGTATGGATTAGAAGGGGGAAGAAAGAATATGATAGAAATGTTGGCTGAGATTCTGCTGTATGGATTAGAAGGGGGAAGAAAGAACGCTAAATATGATGGAAATGTTGGCTGAGAGATGGAAAAGGGCGAAAAGGAATGCTATATGGATTACAAGGGGGGAGAAAAAAGCTAAATATAATAGAAATGGACAGAAAGACCGCTTGATGCGATAGAAAGGGACAGATAGAAGACTAGATACATGAATAGGAGACATGGAGATTGCTGAGATACAGAAAGACGAATAAACGAAACATATTAAAGGCCGAGATTTATGGGACTACTTAATGCGTGTTTAGTAGTAGAGTTGGAGGGAAGCCAGTCGTTGTTTCGCCCACACACGTTTTGTATCTCCTAATCTTATCAGGATGATAAGACACTGGTGAGGCATGCCCTTGTGTATTTTGTACAAATGATATCTTTCCTGCTTTATCAAGGCTTGATTATTGATATTGGTATTGGTAACCAAGCCTTGAACAGAAAGCAAGCAGATACCCATAACCAAAATAGACATGAATGTACTCTCTGAAGCACCTGTTTGCGAACAAGGAGATGCAAGGAGATATTTATAGTTAGAGGGAGAGAGGGAGAGGGAGAGGGAGAGGGAGAGGAGAGGAGAGGGAGAGGGAGAGGAGAGGGAGGGAGAGGAGAGGAGAGGGAGAGGGAGAGGGAGAGGGAGAGGGAGAGGGGGAGGGGAGGGGAGGGGAAGGGGAGGAGGATAGGGGTGTTGATGGGATAGGGATCTAGAGGGAGAAGGAGAGAGAGAAGGAGAGGGAGAAGGAGACAAAAGCAAACACGCCAACAAAGAAGCAAACATTCCCGCATTCTCCACAGCATCTTTTCGACTGGCCTTCAGCATTAGGTAATTTCCGCCCTATGCCCTGCTGGTAACCTGTAAACCTCCTTCCACTCTGACAAGCGGACAATCCGGCCATTCTTCTGACATATCCGGCCTACAGAGACTGTCGCAAGAACGGTTATTTCGGATTAGAGTAGATTAAGGGCTCTTCCGTCTTGCAAATTACCCGAACGTTTTCATGTCGATGGCCGAATAGAGTCCATTTTCCTTTTGCTCTATTTTCTGTAATTTTGATTTTTTTTTTCATTTCGTTGTTGTTTTCTTCTATCTATTTCTCCTGATCTTTTCATCTCGTCCCTTATTTCTATTTTCCTTTTGGCGTTGTTCTGTTTGTCGAAGTAGCATTAGTACTAGTGCTATTCTTTTTCTGTCCTTCAGTTCTTTCCATCTTTGATTTTTCCTTCTTTTGTGAGAGTGTGTTTGAGATTGAGGGAGTGAGAGATTTATCTGTTCTGTTATGATATATATATATATATATAATAATATATATATATATATATATATATATATATATATATAGAGAGAGAGAGAGAGAGAGAGAGAGAGAGAGAGAGAGAAGAGGAGAGAGGAGAGAGGAGAGAGAGGAGAGAGAGAGAGGAGAGAGGGAGAGGAAGAGGAAGAGAGAGAGATAGAGAGAATAGAGAGAGAGGAGTAAGAGTGAGGATAGAGAGAATAGAGAATGAGGAGTAAGAGTGAGGATAGAGAGAATAGAGAGGAGAGGAGTAAAAGAGAGGATAGAGAGAATAGAGAGGAGAGGAGTAAGAGAGAGGATAGAGAGAAAGAGAGGAGGAGTAAGAGAGAGGGAGAGGAGTAAAGAGAGGAGAGGAAGAAGAAGAGGAGAGAGGAGTAAGAGAGAGGAGAGGAGTAAGAGAGAGGAGAGGAGTAAGAGAGAGTAAGAGAGAGGAGAGGAGAGAGGAGGAGAGGAGTAAGAGAGAGGAGAGAGAAGAGGAGGAGGAGGAGAGAGAGAGAGGAGTAAGAAGGAGAGGAAAGAGAGAGGAGAGGAGTAAAGAAGAGAGAGGAGTAAGAGAGAGGAGAGGAGAAGAGAGAGGAGAGGAAAGAGAGAGGAGAGTAAGAGAGAGGAAGAGGAGTAAGAGAGAGGAGAGAGTAAAGAGAGAGGAAGAGGAGTAGAGAAAGAGGAGTAAGAGGGAGAAGGAGTAAGAGAGAGAGAGAAGTAAGAGAGAGGAGAGGAGTAAGAAGAGGAGAGGAGTAAGAGAGAGGAAGGAGTAAAGAGAGAAGGAGAGAGAGTAAGAGAGAGGAGAGGAGTAGAGAGAGGAGGGAGTAAGAGAGAGGGAGAAGTAGAGAGAGGAGAGGAGTAAGAGAGAGGGAGGAGAGGAGAGAGGAGAGGAGTAAGAGAGAGGAGAGGAGTAAGAGAGAGGAAGGAGAGAGAGAGGTAAGAGAGAGGAGAGGAGAGAGAGAGGAGAGGAGTAAGAAGAGAGAGAGAAGAGAGGAGAGAGTGAGAGAGGAGAGGAGGAGAAGAGAGAGAGAGCAGAGGAGAGGAGAGGAGGAGAGATGAGAGAGAGAGAGAGAGAGAGGAGAAGTAAGAGAGGAGTAAGAGAGAGGAGAGGACAGAGTTAAGAGAGTAAGAGAGAGGAGAGGAGAGACGAGAGAGAGAAGAGAGAGAGAGAGAGAGAGAGAGAGAGAGAGAGAGAGAGAGAGAGAGAGAGAGAAGAAGAGAGAGAGAGAGAGAGAGAGAGAGAGAGAGAGAGAGAGAGAGAGAGAGGAGAGAGAGAGAGAGAGGAGAGAGAGAGAGAGAGCAGAGAGAGAGAGAGAGACAGAGACAGAGAGAGAGAGAGAGAGAGAGAGAGAGAGAGAGAGAGAGAGAGAGAGAGAGAGAGAGAGAGAGAGAGAGAGAGAGAGAGAGAGAGAGAGAAGAGAGAGAGAGAGAGAGAGAGAGAGAGAGAGAGAGAGAGAGAGAGAGAGAGAGAGAGAGAGATTGAATTAATAAAATAGTATTTCAAAATCACACACTGAAATATTAAATGTAAAGCATATCATAAAATAATACCCCAGTTCTTTCAGCAGTCTCAAAAAATGACGGAAATAAAAAAGTTGATAAATCATGCTAATTCACGGAGCAGAACGTGGCGCCAAAAAGTCCCCTTGTGCGCGCAACCGAAAATGATTACCGGACATTTAGCTCTCTCAAGTTTTGCTACCTCCTTTTAGTTTCTTGCTTAGTCTTATTCTTTGAGTCCGTTTGTTTGTGTTTCTTTGGCATTTAGTTAGTCTCAAGTATTATTATAGAAGTCGAGTTTCATTTCGATAACGCCCGTCTCAGATTTTTTTTTTCTCGAGAGCTAAATTCGATTATCACGTCTTTTGAATTTGAACTTCTAAGGTCCGATTTCGCATATCGAGTGAAATCTGTTTTTTTCTCTTTAGTTTTGTGATTTCTCATCCCGTGTTTCTCTTTCTCGAAATCCAAATTGTGTCTTTTTGTCTTGCATGAACTGTTTAACCACTGCCACAAATCTCTCCTTTTTTCTGCCTCGTCCTCTATTTTATCTTTCCCATTTTATTTTTCTGCTCCAAAACCGCCCCCCCCCCATTTAAGACCTGAAGATCGCCTGAAGAAGCAATGCAGCTCGACCGCAAGCGGCCAACGGAGGCGCAGGGGACAGGATGTGGTTTCGCGTTGCGTCGCGGCCGAAGGCGAGGGCAGGCGCGTCCGGCGTCGGGCGGCCTCGCGCGCTACTCTGCTACTGCTCGCTCGGGCCGCGCCAAGGTCAAGCAGGAGGGAGGAAGGGGACGGGAGCGGAACTATAAGGGCTGGTAGAGACGATGACGGATTCAAGGAACTCGGTCGGATTATCACCCAATGTTGGGTGTAAAAAAGGATATATATACAGGTACACACACACACACACACACACACACACACACACACACACACACACACACACACACACACACACACACACACACACACACACACACACACACATACACACACACATACACACACACACACACACACACACACACACACACACACACACACACACACACACACACACACACACACACACACACACACACACACACACACACACACACACAGAGGGAGAGGGAGAGGGGAAAGGAGAGGGATAAAGAGACGTACAAGTTCTTCATTTTTTGTTCTTTTTTATTTATGAAGAAAGAAAATCCTTTGTTTACGTCTGGGAAGTGCCAGGTGCCGTCTCGCGGGAAGGGGAAGTTTTTGGTTTAGTTGTCGACGTTCAGCAGCTTTAGTGCATGGCAAAATAATGTGTCGGAGGAAGAGAGAGACAGACACAGACACAGACATAGACATAGACATAGACATAGATATAGATATAGACATAGATATAGATATAGACATATAGATATAGACAGATATAGACATTAACATACACATAGACACAGACAGACACAGACAGACAGACAGACAGAGACAGACAGGGACAGACAGACAGACAGAGACAGACAAACAGACAAACAGACAGAGACATACATACAGGTAGA